AGCCATCTCTGGAGTACACCTTGCTTTTATATGTAGGCTTACGACCTGTTTTATTACACTTGCTCTTATGTGTAGTTAACCATCGCCGTTGCTGTAACACTTTGAATATTTGCAGCGTGAGGGCAAGATACAGGGGAAGGAAAACCTTGCGATACGCTTCCGCATTTTTCCGTCGGTAAAAAAAAACAATTTAACCAGAATGTATGGCACATATCAGTAAGCATGAGCTGGAGTTATAGCAAATTGTATTTAATGCCGCAGGTTACAGAAATGTTATCAGATCCAATCGGCATTCTTGTAATGGTAACTATTCACAAACCTGGATTGGATCCAACAACCAGATTGTGAGGAATTCTTTAGTTGGCCATTGATGTTTAAATGTCTTACGGAAAACAGCAAACATAGAGACATCTTACAGACCGCCAATGACTCTCAAAGTGATTCTTCCTCATGATTCTGAGGAAGGGGGCTTGCCCCTGAAACGCGTCAATATTGGCTGACTGTGGACGGTGATGTGACCGGAGACTACCGTGTTACATAGTCAGGGGGATACCATGTTGGGTCAACAGACAGTGTGGCCTCTCGTTTGTTGTTAAAGCCTGATGAAAATGTTTGTTTGTGAGTACTTTTATCCCTTGTTTTATTTATTGTAATAAACGATTTCACACACAGAGGTGGCGCTCTGTTCCCTTTTGTTCTCAAAGTGAGTCGTCCATGTTACAAACTGACTGTACAATCTTTCTACAATCTTTACATTTACCAAAACTTTGTAATATAAGGACCTACATAACTATCCAACCAATTTGTATCCATTCAAGGAAGCCATTGCACTATATAGTTGTTGGTAGATCTAAAGGAGATGGAACAGTCTGATTGTAACTAGTGTAGTAAGCAGGATCTGTCACTGTGTTCTCAATTCAGATGATTGTCTCTAGTGTTGTTAGATCTGAAGGAGATTGTAAAGATTGTAACAAGTGTAGTAAGCGGGGTCTGTCACTGTTTTCTAAATTCAGATGATCATTACTAGTGGTAGATCTAAAGATGATTGTACAGTCAGATTGTAATGTGTGTAGTAAGCTGGATCTGTCACTGTGTTTTCCTAATTAAGAGTGTCTCTAGTGTTGTTACATCTAAAGGAGATTGTACAGATTTTAACATGTGTTGTAAGCCGGATCTGCCACTGTTTCCCCAATTCAGATGATTGTCTTTAGTGATGGTAGAAGGAGATTGTACAGATTGTAACATGTGTAGTAAGCCAGATCTGCCACTGTGTCCCCAATTCAGAAGATTGTCTTTAGTGTTGCTAGAAGGAGATTGTATAGATTGTTACTTGTGCACTAAGCTGGATCTGTCAATGTGTTTTCCCAATTCACATGATTGTCTCTATTGTTGTTACATCTGAAGGAGATTGTATAGATTGTAACATGTGTAGTATGTATAGATTGTAACATGTGTAGTAAGCCGGATCTGCCACTGTTTTCCCAATTCAGAAGATTGTTTTTAGTGTTGGTAGAAGGAGATTGTACAGATTGTAATGCGTGTAGTAAGCTGGATCTGTCACTGTCACTGTGTTCCCCCAAGTCAGATAATTGTCTCTGGTGGTGTTGTTAGATCTAAAGGAGATTGTACAGATTGTAACATGTGTAGTAAGCTGGATTTTCCACATGTTCCCAATTCAGATGATTGTTACGAGTGGTAAAAATATTATTCCATTTCCTCCTACAAAAAAAAGGAACATTCGGCTACCAGCAGCAAAGAGATTACACGGCGCGTTGTAAAACGTCTCGCAATAATGATAACTTTGGAAACGCTGATTATTACACTTCTATAGTCTGTCATAAGCTATTATTGGGTCATGTACGCTCAGCCATGTATGCCGATAGAATATACAGCGAGCACTGTGCTTAGGTAATTGTTATACGAATCACATCTGTAACCCCTTTGGATGCAGTTTATACAGAAAAAGGATATTTTCTTATCATTTGGAGCATAATATTGCCATTACAACTCAGCTGCCCCCTGCACAGGGATATTGGTTGCTATCGGTTACTCAGGATCAATGTGGCTATTTCAGTTGCCTTCGTATATAGTTTTAAACGATCATAAAAGACAATGCCAAGTGATTATATCTGAGAGGAACAATGATTATTTTGCCGTTTTAAAACTTTGTGCTGATGACGCTTCCAGGAACAAAAAAAATCCCTCATTTATCAAAAGGTGTTTTAATCCTTTGCTTAAAAGAATAATTTAGCAATAATACCTGGAATTTGGTGCAAAACAGGATTTCAATGGTGTATTTTTATGGAATGATGTTGAACAATGAGTCAGTAATAATTGCAATCATTGCTACAGTCAATAAAGCACTCCTTGATGAGCCGGGAGCCCCGAACATATCTACTAATATTAAAATTCATGTGCAACAAATAGTTTTTTTCCTTTTGAATAATTGTAATTTTTATGCCTAAGTGCAATTTTGTTTTCCAGCATGACAGAATACTTCCAATAGTACACATTTTTTCCACTTACTCGTCATTGTTACATTATGGTACATATGTTATTTGCATCAGATGGACATATAAAGACCCCAAAGGGGACAAATAAGAGTTGGCGTACGATGAAGTGTTAATAGTAAAGTTAGGTTTACAGGCAGTAAATGGAATTTAGCTGTTTTGTAACGATGACCTAAGGGTGACGTAATAGAAAAGGGACATTAAAGGCTTACCGCTGACACACAGACTCAAGCTGCACAAGCCTTCATCACAAGTGTCATCTTGGCTGTCTTGGTCCCCTTCATCTTCCTCATCCTCACCTGCCCTGGTGTTCTCTCGTCGCTTCCTTCGAGAGGGTCTCCTGACAATTCGGAGGACCTTGTTGACCCTGTTCATGAGCTGGCAGTGGAAAGGCTCTTAGCTGCTCCTGGTGGGTCTGTGTGTTCTTGGTCCTACCCTGGAGAGGTCTCAGTCGGGTTTCCAAGCTGTGCTGCTCCAACACAGAAGAAGGTTGAGAGAATTCTCTGCTTTTGAGGTCTGTGTGGGCAGATATGTTTCTCTCTCGCTCTCTCTGCTGACTTACTACACAGGAGCTAATAACTCTCGAGGGCAGAGCCTTTTCTTGCTGGAATGTTTGAGATGTTGCATGGAAGTCAGCGCTCAGGCAGCCTGTTATTAGCTCTCGGCAGGCTGAAGAATGAGCTGCCTCTCACGGTCCTTCAAAGCTCCGATACTGTCAGCGGGGATGGCAGAGCGACATGTGGAACAAATACATCATGTCGTTAATGTTCACAAAGCGCTAAACTTCATTGGCAGCCTCCTTCGAGATACATGGGAAAGAAATGGGGGATACAAGGCAATGAAATAAGGGAGGGGGCAATAGACGTTGTGTAAGAAAAGAGCAGTCAAAATAATTGTCAGCTCTTCAGGAGAGAGGCAACGAATATAAAAATAATCATCTCTCCTATATGTTAACCTATAATAGCCTGGTGATGGATTTGGTTGGTAGCCTATCCTTTGAAAAGCTATCTATCTATCCATTTCCTCTCTCTGTCTCTCTCTCTCCCTTCCTTCTCTCTCGCTTCCTCCTCTCTCTCTCTCTTCTCTCTTTCTCTCTTCCCTCTCTCTTCCCTCTCTCCTCTGATCTCTCACTCTTTCTCTCTGTTTCTCTCTTCCTTCTCTCTCTCTCTCTCTCTCTCTTCCTTCTCTCTCTCTCTCTTCACTCTCTCTTCCTTCTCTCCCTCTCCTCTTTCTCTCTCTCTATTCTCTCTCTTTCTCTCTCTCTTCCTTCTCTCTCTCCCCTCTCTCTTCCTTCTCTCTCTCTCTTCTTTCTCTCTCTTTCTCTCTCTCTTCCCTCTCTCTCTTCCCTCTCTCTCTCCCCTCTCTCTTCCTTCTCTCTCTCTTCTATCTATCTCTCTTCCTTCTCTCTCTCTCTTCTATCTATCTCTCTCTCTTCTCTCTCTCTCTTCTATCTATCTCTCTCTCTTCTATCTCTCTCTTTATCTCTCTCTTTATCTCTCTCTTTATCTCTCTCTTTATCTCTCTCTTTATCTCTCTCTTTATCTCTCCTCTCTCTCTCTCTCTCTCTCTCTCTCTCTCTCTCTCTCTCTCTCTCTCTCTCTCTCTCTTCTCTCTCTCTCTCTCTCTCTCTCTCTCTCTCTCTCTCTCTCTCTCTATCTCTCTCTTTATCTCTATATCTCGCTAATCTATCTTTGTGCCCCACTGAGTTATTAATTGCAGAAAGTGTTTCAGCCAGCCAGCAAACATATGCATTTGATTTATACACAAGTTAAGTATGTGTCATCAGAATGTATAAATACCCAAAGTATGCCATTAATCCTCCAGATGCTCTAATTAGCTGAAGGTCTGAAACTTCAAACAAGTGAATTTTTCAGCTTGGAGCGTAGAAATGGTAGAACAAACACAGGGGGAACTGCAAGACGTGCAGGAGTTTGCAATAAAGGGGCGAGAGTCTCTGTGACAAGGGAGTATCAGAGAGTCTTGGTGGCAAGGGAGTATAAGAGAGCCTTGGTGGCAAGGGAGAATCGGAGAGCCCTTGGTGGCGAGGGAGTATCAGAGAGCCCTTGGTGGTGAGGGAGTATCAGAGAGCCTTGGTGGCAAGGGAGTATCAGAGAGCCTTGGTGGTGAGGGAGTATCAGAGAGCCTTGGTGGTGAGGGAGTATCAGAGAGCCTTAGTGGCGAGGGAGTATCAGAGAGCTTTGGTGGCGAGGGAGTATCAGAGAGCCCTTGGTGGCAAGGGAGTATCAGAGAGGCCTTGGTGGCGAGGGAGTATCAGAGAGCCTTGGTGGCGAGAGGGTATCAGAGAGCCTTGGTGGCGAGGGAGTATCAGAGAGCCTTGGTGGCGAGAGGGTATCAGAGAGCCTTGGTGGCGAGGGAGTATCAGAGAGCCTTGGTGGCGAGGGAGTAAGAGAGAGCCTCAGTGAAATAGGATTGTCAGGGAGTCTATGTAGCATGAGAACATCAGATTGATATTGACAAGGGAATTGACACCTGATTGACAAGGGAATATCAGTGAGCCATGGGGACAAGGCAGTATCAAAGAGCCTTAGTGACAGGAGAGTGCAGAGGGCTTCAGGGAAAGGGAGTATCGAAGAGCCTGGGTGACAATGGAGTATTATGCAATCTCAGTAACAATAAAGTGTATCTGACAGCCTCAGTCAAAATGGTGTATCATGGAACCCCAAAGGGAGTGTCAGAGAGTCTCAGTCACAATGGTGTATCAGAGAGCCTTAGTGAAAATGAAGTATCAGAAAGCCTCAAAGGCAAGGGAGTATCAGAGAGCCTTAGGGAACAACAGATTATCAAACAACGTTAGTAAAAAGAGACAAGAGAGCCTTTGGAACAAGGAAGCATCAGAGACTCAACAACTTGTCACTTCGAAGCATGGATCGCAGGGCAGAACATAGAAGCCATTAAATAGGCCGGTTTAGTTTCAATATTGTGTTCAATCTACACTGAAATAATAGTAAGTTAAGTATTGGTGGACTGGTGATCGAGTTGATTCCAGGAAAAATCAAACAGCCCAATAATTCTGCCCTTGTATGGCTTACATAGTGGAAACAAATGAAGTAAATGAATTGTGGACACAAAACTCACACGTAAAGACTGGACATGACCCCAAAATATTACTGACGAGAACTTTCAAGAATGGAAATTAAATCTACGACTCTAGTAACATCTGAAACACATATGGCTCGTTCATAAACTATTTTATTTAATATTACCAAATAAATAATTAGGGATGCACCGATACCAAGTATAGTACTCGGTACAAGTATAGATACGTTTCCAGCTCCAGGACTAGAATAGAGAAAAATTCAAAAGTTAGGAGGCCGCTGTCATTTGTAAGGAGCACACGGAGCTCCCGGGATTTGTACATCTCTGTTTTAATGTATGATTTTGTTTTTATAGATATATAAAGGGATGCACCGAGACCAGTTTTGGAAGTATAAGTACTGATACTTGCCCAAGTACTCACAGATACAAGTACTGATACATTTTTGTTTATTGTCATGTGACAGTTTTTCTAAAACAATATCAACTAATGATTTCAGGACAGCGGTGGAGCGCCAGAGCCCGGTCCCAGCTGCAACCGCTGCAACCCTGGTAGTTCTTGTGAAAATGCCAAGTATCGGCACTGGTATCTGGACATCCCTAGAAATAATATTTCAGTTTAGTCTGCAGCAGACTGATTCTCTAAAACCACCAAAACATGACACCTGGTGTCATTCAATCAGGAAGACATACTATGAATTTGGGGCATCATGGCCCTGCCTCCTGTGCTCTTTATTGAAAGTGTATTGATGTGCCTCTGAGGATCGCCCACAGCTGGAGGAGATGAAGAGAGGAAGAAGAGCCTGCGTGTCATGTGACTGGCCAGAATCTCAAATCATCTCTGAATCGGGGCTGACACTGTCCTTCCTTCTGGAGGGTGGCTACGTCTGTTCCCCATGGTCTCTGTGTGTGTTGACAAGTAGTCACCGCTCCAAGCTCATTCCCGGGATGGGCTACAATCTCAGTACAAATTAGTAAACTAAACATGAGATTGTAGTCCATTCCGGGAGCGAGCTTGGAGCGGTGACTACTTTACAACACACACAGGGACCATGGGGAACACAAGTAGTCCCCCCCTCCAGAAGGAAGGACAGCGTCAGCACCAATTCAGAGATGATTGGAGGATCTACAGCCGAGTGATACACAAATAAGATACATTGTTGTTCAGAGTTAAGGTGCGTGAATGTATTTGTAAGATTAAACTCCGGAGTTTAGTGTCATTTAATTTTTAACTCATCTGCAATAAGATTCTCAGCACATGGCAAAATATGAACTCCTTTTTCCTTCACGAAAACTGAACTTAATTCTCGAGGACTTTCCATAAAAAGTACAAGCAGATCATTTCTCTTGACCCTCCGTAATTACACTCTTATATCTCATGGAAACTTATATACGAAGCAGGGTGTCTAAGCCTCGGAGGAGAGCCTTATCCTGCAGAAGCGATGCCTTAATACCAGACAAAGTCATGCCGCAAAACAGGGGAAACCTTTTCAGAAATGCCAAGCCGAATGCCCCGCGATTAGCTCTTTTGAAGTCACAGCGAGCTTCCATCTCTACATTCTTCACTTATCGGATGTCTTACAGATTGCTCAGCTGTTGAGAGAGGTATCTTCCTTCCTCGAACAGATAAGACCTCTGCCTAACCTGTGACGTCTGATGAAGAATGGAAGAAAGTGAATAGCTTTTGCAGGCAAAATTAAAGGAGAACTATGGGGTTAGGGCTTTTCCCCATAGTTCTCCTTAGGGTAACGGGAGGACACAAACTAGCGTCCTCCCGTCACCCTAGGCTCAGTATACCGCGAGCTAAAGCTCACGGTATACTGAGACGCCGCAGCCGACATCGATGTCTGGATCCACCCAGCTGCGTGAGTGACAGCTGGCTCTGCCTATCTCCCCCCTCATAGTTCTCCTTTAACAAAAGTAATAAATAAAATTGTGTAAGTAGTTACAATGAGTAGTCGTAATTTTCTATGAAGCAAGCCCTGGGTTCTGAAGCATGCTGCCACAATTTCCGATTCTTCACAGTATACCACACGTGGCCTATAATGACTCCAAGGTTAGATTGTTTTATGTGGATAAATAACGACAGTACGACCCATAACCCTCATAACATAGATGTTTTAGTCTTTAAAATGATTTATGTGTCCTTATGTTGCCCCTAAGCTCAGGTTGTACTTCAAAGTCAATGGATAAAGTAAGGAAGTGATACAATTCTTGTTTTATTTGCCATTGGTGTCCCATTGGAGAGGTTTTGCTTCATTTACTCTCCTAGAGACACAACAGGAAGTAAGAGGAAATCTCTAGAAGGTAAGGGGAGTTCCCTCTTAGCAGGGGCGTCCCGAGGCTGGGTGACACCCGGAGCGGTAACCAAGTGTCACCTCGCCGAGAC